TTTCTTCTTCATCATTAGTCATTATCCATATTGAATCTCCCGGCTCAAAATGTTCTGAAATACTATCGGTTCGTATAACTATTTCATCCTTTTCTTCTGAATATTCTGTTTTACAAGTTTCTTCCCTATCTTCTTCGGAATCTGTATAGATGTTTTCGGCTCGTACATAAAGTCCGTAGTATGGGTTATCAGTTTCTAAATGGTGCATATCTGCTGAATGTATTGTTGCTAAGGGTATAATCTAGACGGAAGGTTGTGTATATTCTGACGTCTGTCTACAATTCAATTGTGGGGCTTGGCTTGTCAAATTTAAATTGACAAAGGTTGTTAAGGGTCTTTGGCTTGTGGACCGGTGCTTGTCAAATTTATATTTGACTGACACTTGTCAGACTAAGTGGCACGTTCTTTACTAGGGGATATGTTGATAAGAGATACGTTGAATTATTTGTGAATTTTGAATGCCAAAAACTGCTAGGGAGGCTCCCAGTATGTTCTGAACTCAGTTGAAATTCTTTGGTTTGTTGAAATATTTGGTATTACAGTTGTTTTAATAGGCTTATAGGGGATATTGACTTTGGGTACTTGTTATTGAACCAGAATATTCAAAGATTTAGTAAAAAATTTCGTACTAACAGTCCCAAGCCTCTTGGTCTTTCAATGAATCAATTTTAGATTCATTACATACATATATAGGGGTTGACATCAGGTACTACTAAAAAAAATGAAACTTCTATCAAGAACTTTGATTTCACACGTCAGAAGCAACAGAAGCTCAAAATGAACACGATTGCGTGATATAAGTACAAGATTTGATCGGAATATTTGAAAAACTCAAACACGTCATATGTATATATGTGTACAAAAAAAATGAAACATTGTAACAAAAAAAATACATAAAGAAAGACGAAAGTACTTATTCTAAATAGTAAGGACCTACGCGCTTGGCATCGTAGTCCCGATCGTACTTAGCTTCAGCGAGAGACAAAATGAACTTAGTGCTAGTGGTAGGAACAACGTTAGTACCACGGAGATCGTCAAGTAGGTAGTTCTGTAATAAAATGAAGATGATGTCCTCATCGGGGACAGATCGTTGCAGGAGATCGTCGATGGCATCTGCGAGTACGAAGTACCCGAAGAAACGGAAGAGTCCTGCGGCCGATCGCAAATATGCGACTTCTTCATAGGCGAAGAGAGGATTAGCGGATGGACAGAGTTGGTGAAAAAACGTAGCGCGATTAACGCTGGCTGGGATGCAGCGGACGCCGTCGACGACGATGAGAAGGAGTTGCTCCTGCGAGCACTCCTGCGACTGGAAGGGAGTAAGAGTTGCATGAGTTAGTTGGATGATGTTGCGCGCCGTGGTGCGCATGTTCTTAAGTTCATACATGCGGGTATGAAGGCGCGAAGTGCCTCGAGGAACGTGGAGGTTGTACGTAGACGTGTCGTAGTGATAGATTGCACTCGGCCGAGTGGTATGGAAGGCGGCTTGCTCTATTCCGAGCTCCCGGACGGATTGAGAGGCCATGATGCCTGTAAGGAACCTGGTGAGCGTGGTGAGTCGGTGGACGGATGAATGGTCGTAGTGTCCGTGGAAGGGGAGAGTCTCATACGTGAGTTCGCACTGGCGAAGGCCGAAAGGGGAAGGGGTAAGTTTGTCGAAGAGGCCGTTGTCGTCCGGCTCCTCAAGTGCGTCGGTGGTGCGGGTGAAGATGAGCGAGGGAATTAATTGAGGGATGAACTTACGAGTCCACGGGTCCGCGATGTCCTCTGCAAGTTTGCGAATGTGCGACAGGTGCAGCTGCACGATGCGTGAGCTGGGACGGGTGGAGTTAGGAATGGGGGCAAGACTCTCCTCGTCGTCGGCACAGGACGAGGAGGTCTCGCTCATGTCGACTAGCTCGCCGTCGGACGATACGTCGTCCGCGACATGCGCATCGCGTCCGCTGTGGGCGAGCGTGGTAGAACTTTTCTCCAGGGCGACCAGCCAAGTCTTGACGATCAAGGCTTGGTGGAAAAGAGCGTCCTGCGAAGGAACATCCCCGGCGGGTGCCTTCGCAGGTGTCTGGACAATAAAATTTTATTAGGCGGCGGCGGAATAACAGTAGTAGTGCGACGTACCTTTGGTGGTGTCGGGAGCACATGCTCAACCGACCCACTCTTCCTCCGTTTGTCGTAGTCGTCCGTTGTCAATAAATCTTTCTCCTCCGCATCTCTCTCTGAGGTCCGGCGGGACAGAGTTTCCTCATGGAAGTCCATGAATTTAGAGGCGACATGCGCCGGCATCTTCAGGTCGTAGTTTGTCGCAGAGGGAGGGACAGCCAGTGAGTGCTTGATAAGGTGTAGTTGGTTGTTAGTGTGACGTTCGGCGGATTTGGGAAATGAAATACGTACCGGGTCCGATAATCCGGGCATATGAAATATGTCCTCAGGGGACATATGTGTGAAATCGTCGAAGTCGACGATGGGAAGAGGGATGGTCGACTGACGCATGTGTCGTTTGACGTCGGCGCCGTAAGTCTCAAAGAAAGGACCAGAGGTAAGACGTCTAGCGAAAGCAAGAGGAGTAGGGGAGCGAATTTGCCTCGCATCAATAGGAAGTTCGAACGCGGGTATTAATACATTTCCGCATTGGGAAATTACGTCTTGCGCGGCAAAGTGCGCGTGTACTACTAAATTCGGCACGAAGTCCACAACGTTCCGGGCCGTGCCTTGCAGATCGGCAAATTGAGATCCATTAAGGACTAAATAGTCCGCCTCATGGTTTCCATTTACCGAGTGCGTGTTCTGGATGTTGGCTGTGTGCCGGAAGGCGTGATGCCCCGGGTTCTCGATTGATTGCTTCACTGTGGGGCCGGCATAGTCGGCTATGGCTGGATTTGGCTGGAACAGCGTAATAGAGTGCGTGGGGGGCATGCTTGTCTTAATTTCTGTAAGTTCCCCTATTTCTTGGCTTTCTTTTATAGATTCTATTACTATACCGTCCCTTAAATTTTCTATAATAGATTGTATAGTACATATGTGACTTAATTCAATGCTATTACTGCTTACTACTGAGTGAAGTTGACGGGCTACATTTCCCTGAAAGTTATTCAAAACATTTGCCCATGTTGATGTCGCTTCTAATACATCCGGTATGATGTAAGTACTATATTTAGGTATTATTTGATGCGAAGTATTGATACCGGAAATTTCCGAACATGTAATGTTCCAGCTCTTCGCACCGGTCTCCCGGTTCTTTCCGCTTTTGGAAGGTACCACTAACACTTCGGATATTTGATCATTTGTAGGGCTATTCCCAAATTCTAGCCATGTACCTGTAGGCCGTTCATGTATAGATACCACATTATGTATTTGCCATGGCCTCCCTAATAAAATATCAAATGGGACTGAGTCCCCTACATAAATTTCGGCCGTTGTAAGTACAGCCCCAATGTTAACCGGTACCTGAGACACAAGTCCTTTAAGGTGACCTTTCCCGCCGTTTGCATCATGTAGTACTAGGGTTTTGCTCCGATTGATCGGAAGTTTGATAAATTTCTCATACATATGTTCCGATACTATATTTAGCTGACTTCCGGTATCTATTACCGCTTTGAGACTGTTCCCATGTATTTTTATCGGCAATTCTATTAATGCTTCTTTTGCTCGTGCTTCGGAACTTCCCGTAACTCGAAAACCTTCGGCCGTTCTCTCATTCCCTTCACTCGGATTGTATACCAGGTGCGTCTCTTTTCTTACCATTGTTCTGGGTTTTATTGATTCGGCCAACAGACCCGATATCTCCTTCGATACGCCCAATATCTCTCCCGCAGTAAGTGCAACCGGTATATTTAAAATTCGATTTAATACTGACTTAGCGTTTGTTCCATCAGCAATTTCTGATCGTCGGATTCCCGATCGGGTATCGATCGCGTGATCCGGCGCCTTATGACCTATGTCTTTCGGTACGTCCTTTCCTTTCTCTTGCGTTTTTCTCCCTTGCCCTCTCACTTTTATTCTTTCTAGCACTTCGTCCTCCATGACGATATCATCGTCCTGCGCGTCGTACCGCGCCCTCTCGATGGCCGCCTGTATTATTGGAGGTACTTTGTCCCTGACAAGTACTTTCTTTTCTGGTGCGTCTCTCATTTCTTTTTCTTCTCTGTTCATCTTTTCTATTGTTTTTAAAGGTAAGTCTTTCCGTTCTATTCTGGGGATTCCCTGGGATGTTTTTACTAATTCTTCTTTTACTTTCTTAGGGTCTGCTATCCTGAATTCCCGCGGCTCGGGCACCGACACTCTATTCAACGCTGGATGCTCGTTTACCGGAGCCGCGGATGTCTTAGAAGTTGGCGCTGTTGCCGGAGGTACTTTAGTTGCAGGTCCGTACCCTCTCTCTCCTCTTAATTCATAACGCTGACGTTGTTCTTTTTTTATTTCTTCTCGCGCGTCTCGTCCTTTCGACGGATAGACGCCATCGAACACTTCACTCCGTTTCCGCGCTCCGTCCTTTGGAGTCCTATACACCGGGTATGTTCTTAATTCCTCCTCTTCACTCTCTTCATCGCTGACATATCCTAATGTTAAACAGTGTTCTCGATCGTCCGTCTCACTCTCCGACTCATATTCGCTTTCCCAGGATTTTACAAAGTGAGTTTGCGCCGAGCGCTTCCAATTCTCATATGCGTTTATTATTGTCTGACCCGTCCATTTTCTTAGGGGCACTCCTCCCCTCAATGCTATTCTCCCATTTTCCATTCTTACTAACTCTCCTTTGGTAAGTAATTCCTCTATTTTCGGACACGCGGCTAATCCATGAGTGTCTTCTCCGCATCCAAAACAGATCATTTTGTCCATGTAGTTAGGGGTATTTCTATTGTAGTTACTATTTGTATTTCTGTTCATGTTAATAAAATTGTTTCTGCTGTCCATGGCATTGTGTGTGTTGTTAGCGAAATTAGGTCTTGGTGAAAATCTTGCAGTAGGGAATCTATTGTCTCTTAGTCCCATTGAATATTCCTTAGCTTTCCAGTCTAATGGACTTTCAACAATCTCTTTAACCTTTGGGTCGAGAGTAATAGCCTTATAGTATAGTGTGCTATAATTAGCATCCCCTATTTTCATCCTTCCAAGTTGTTGAATTAGGTTCTCTACTTCCTCCTGAGTGTTATTTTTAGCAGCACGTTGCTTATGAACTGCTTTCCGTGTCCTAGCAATAGGGGTTTCCTCATCGGAGCTTCCATCTTCAAAGCGAGTCTTACGCAAAATGGTCTTACTGGTATGTAAATGCCTCTTATGCTTTGCTTTCTTTGAAGATTTGGGATTCTTCCGGTATTCCTCCTCTGAATCTGAACTTGAGTCTGTATCTGAGTCTGTGTTACTAGAGCTATCTGAATCTTCACTTTCTGAGTCATCCGTATCTGAATATACCAAATCCGTATCAAAGCGATCACGTTGCAGAATCTTTTCTGCTGCTTTAGATACATCGTTGAAGGCGAATGGGGTTGTCATATCTCTTAGGGGTGTGGCTACTAATAACCGTGTTTCAATCTTGGAACGCAATGTCCTTGGTATGCCTTTCCAAAAGTAGGTAGCATGGTCATTACTTGAAATTTTGCTTTTTGCTAACAGCCATCCTCCTATAGCCACAAAATCCCGAGTATACTTCTTCCAGTCTGACAAAGTCCTTATAGATGCTGACCGACGCTTGTTGACAAAGGACACTAAGCTACGAACTTTGTATCGCTTGGCATCCCGATCCGCATCAAAGAGGCTGTTAAAGTCTGCTTTCAGATCAGTCCAGTTGTTACTTCTAAAGCTTGGTAATATTTCTATGAGTCGTCTGATGCTAGATGAACAGTACAAGGTAACATTCTCACATATCTCTTGGTCGGTTGTAATTGAACATTGGTCGCATAATTTCTCATAGTGACGAATGAATGTCTTGACTTGGTTATACTTTCCCTTGAACTTGGCAGGAGCACGCTTGCCTCCTGGTAATGGTAAGAGTTGTGGTGTTTGAATAGGGTGTGCAGGTTGCACAGGCTGAATAGGTGCTGGGTTGGTTGGTTGGGTACTCATGATAACAGTATATAGTGAAGGTGGTGAAAATGTGTCAATATAGTGATAAGGCTGGTCTGAATATACTTGGTTTAGTTAAACTTTCAAAAAATACCACCCTCGCGGTGGGCTCCAATAATGTCTTCTTAGATAGATGATCTATAGATAAACACCTACAAAATCAAAAATCTCCACGGTCAGTGATTCAGACAAATACCAATGACTGATAACGTGGTTGTTCGTGGGTGGCTGTTTACACTTCCCCAAGCTATGTTCAGACAAAAGTACTTCCTGTGAGGTCAGTAGCAATACCAGTCAATCCAACAGTATGGACGCAATAGAAAATAAAATAAACAGAATGTAGTCAGCCCAACGGTATGGTGATGACAAAAAGAAATTGATTCACTCCAACGGTATGGCAGTGTTTAGAGAACAGAGAAAAGTCAGCCCAACAGTATGGTACTGATAAAAAAAGAAATAGATTGATAAGAGAAACCCTTCCTTCAGTAACAATGCTTCTTGTAATAAATTTACTACAGAAAGTCGTGCGAAATTATAGCAATCACCCCCTCAGCACAAACAGGTAGAATCAAAGGTCAGGACTAATCAGTGATCAGTAGAACTCTTAGTTCACTATTGAACCTGCTGCCAAGGAACTCACGATGAGTATTAAACAGAATCAGGAACGGACGTCCTTGGATTTCAGTACCAAGTCCCCTATTCAACAACTAAAGTCTAGCAGACAAAGAAAACCCTGGCTCAGTATCACTACTCAGATGAGTGAGGTCAAGCGTCACTATCAACTTCTGAAGTCTTCCCACTAAGCCGGTGCTTAGATGGACGTAAAGACAACACAAAGATCTTGAAACAAATTCAGACAATAACACTGAGACGTGAATGAACTGAACAGAAAAAGAGACAAATGAAAAGAAACAAACAAACAAAGAAACAGAAAAAGAAAGAGAGAAAGAAGAAAGAAAGAAAGAAAAGAAAAGAAAAGAAAGAGACTAGAGGTTCACCAGTAGAAAATCAAAGAAAAAGTTTGCTCACTGTTGAGCACAGTGAGCTCAAGATATTTCACAGTTGTTGACGATGAGCTAAAGGTATTGCTGGATGTTGCTTACAATGACCTCTCAGTTAGTTGCTTAACAGCTCTTGTCACTGTTGTTGATACTGATCACACTTCACACTCAAATTTATTTTGTGGGGCTTAAAAGTTCCCTATATGCTTTTTTATTGGCAAAAAGTGGGGTCTTATATAGATAAATTATGGTGGCTGTGTTACTATTTCCCACGTTCTAAGGGGAATAGGCTTAGTCAGATTGTACCAATACTATTTACTGTAGTCATGTGCTTTATAATTTGTGTCATCAAGCTTTAGTCATCTCAAAAAGGTTGCTTTGTCATGATTTGGTTTAGGGTCATAGGTCACCTGACTGTTAGAGTCATATAACTTAGTATCATGTGACAAATATTAAGTAACAGACTGATTATGTTATTTGTTGGTGTCTTGTTATGATGTTACTTTATTGACCGTAGAAATGACGCGAGCCGTGTATTTAGAGTGTTAAGAAAGTTCCCACAAGGCAAATTATGCAAGAACTATTTTACACTGTTACTTGACATGTGTGGGATTCAGTCTGAGCCATTGTTATTGCTGACTAAGCAGAATTTACCGCAAAATTAAATATACAAGAATATTCAGCCTATCTGAGTCTGTCTGAGAAATGAAAATACTATCTGAACTGCAGTCTGAACCATAAAGTAAAGGAAGATTGTTCATAATGATTTCTAGGGTATCGGGCTCGTGAGAGAGCATTAGTCATCCATGCACCGAACCGGTTTGGTGCAGGTCACCGCTTGGTGGACGATAAGAGATAAGAGATAAGAGATAGTAACCATGGTGCGGACAGCCCGCTTTGATAAGAGATGATTGGCTAAACATAGTGATGGTTACTAGCACGGAAAGTCAGCTTGGCGATGATATGAGTAAGAGTCTGGAAAGTAATTGGTCGCTCATTAACAGCTGTGTCCAAGGACCATTGTCCGGTAACAAAGGAGAAACGAAGAGAATGAATGTGCCGTAACATTACCCCCGTGTTATGGTCGATGGCACCGGCTTCGACGTCACTAGTTGTCCTGGTTTGCATAGTAGATGGGGTCGGCGTCGGCATTGTGGAATTCTAATTCCTCTGGCTGTACCAAGTACTCCCTATTGGCGCGCTCAAGATCCTCTTCTTCCTTCTTATCTTTCTCCGCTTCCCACGCGGCTAACGCGT